GAAGTCATTACCAACCACTATGTGCTGTTGATATTAACATATGTCACAACATACCAACACGAGTGACTGGCGAGAGCAACGTTATCGTTCGTTTTGTGTGACGCGATAAGCGACAGGCGGTTCTTGCGAAAGCTAGGAAACATTGTATCACAAATGAGATGCTGGGACTTCCTCGATCTGATCGAGCCTACATTAACGAGCATTTAACTCGTGCTAATAAGCAACTACTGGAAGCCACAATTGCCAGCAAAAAAGAAATGCCTTGGAAATTCGTATGGACTACTGGAGCCAATATTTTCGCCAGAAGGAATGAATCATCGAATGCCATCAGAATTGCCATTAAGGGTGATCTGTGCAAAATATCACAACACCTGCATCATTTTTCGCTCAAACAATCATGGTGATGCTCGAACTACCGACCTGTTCTCTGTACAACCCTGCATCATTCAATCCTAAATTTCAAAACCGACACCAGGAACTATCTATTACCCACTTTATTGCAAGAAGCATGGAAAACAAAGGCGATAATCTCGATCATTTTTGTTACGTCATTAACAACAGAATTTTATATAATGGTGTTTTCTGAGACTTGGGTGCTCACAAATAACGACCACCTTCATTTCAATAACTACGCATATAAAGGCCTCTTACGTCCTAGCGGAAAAGGCGGAGGCCTTGCTTTTTATGTTAAATGCCCTTACGCGCACTCTGTACTTGAGAACTGCTCAATTATGACTCCCAGTGTTGAATGTATGACTGTATCACTGTCTAATGTAATTGTAGCGGCAATTTATAGGCCACCGAATGGAAATAAGAGACAGTTTCTGATTTTCTTAAGACATTGCTTGAAGAATTAAATTCTACCACTGTTTCAATTGAGCTCTGGGGTGACGTTAACATAAATTTATTGCATGACGATCTGAGCACTGACGATTTCAACAGTTTTATATCATCTTTAGCATGTTACAATCACATTACTTTACCATCTAAAATTACTATTCACACCACCACTCTTTTAGATGTCTATGTTACAAGCATTCAACCAAGTAGTATTGAATGTGGATTATTGAGTTCGGACATTAGTGATCATATTCCAATTTTTTGCCTTATCAAAAAAGTGCTAAAACGTAAATTTACAGTTGATAGTTACATAACGCGAGAAATAAATGAAGATAATTTGAACAAATTTCATTTCCTCGCTCAGAATATAATTTGAAGTAGCATATGCAGTATTGGTGACGTAAATTCGGCGTACTCAAAATCTATTTCTAAGTTCTCAGAGGCCTACAACAACGCTTTCCCGCTTATTGAAAGAAGAATGAACAGCAAAATAATTAGAAAGACTTGGATAAATATAGACTTACTGAAAAAATGGCACTAAAACAAGATGCACCATTCTTTCATTTGGAGCCGGGAAACCAGTCTTTTGAAAGAGTATAAAAAAGTACCGAAATCTTCTGAATAAAACTTAAAGACAGCAAGAACAAAGTATTTTATTGAGCAATTCACGAGAAATCAAAACAACAGTAAGAAAGTATTGAGAGAAGTAACTAATCTAACAAAAGTTAAAGATAATAACGTGCTGAACAAGATTAGCACGCTGATTGGAATCTTGTCCACTTTTGATTTAGCCTGTGCTTTCAATTAGTACTTTGTCAATGTTCGTAAACCACTCGGTGATGCGCCTAAACTTGACAATGAATTCAACAACGCTACTATTTCTTCATCAGTCTTTGTTTTTCTCTCCCACATCCCCTCAGGAATTAGTAGTTTTCTTCAACAAGTTAAAAAATGATGTTTCTCCAGGTCACGATGATTTAAGATCAGTTCTCATTAAATACTTTGCGCCTTTCATGTCGGACGTATAGGCTTATCTTGCTAACCTAGTGTTTACTACAGGTGTGTTTCCTAATGACCTAAAAATCACCAATGTCTGTCCATGATACAAAGGTGGTAACAGAATGGACATGTCAAACTACCAACCAATTTCTGTGTTGCCAGTATTGTCGGAATATATGAAGGAGTCATAAATTTCAGGCTTGAATAATGTGTTTTTTAATTAAGCAAAACATAATATCTGTTCTCCAGTACGGTTTTCTGAAAAAAAAAGTTTACAGAAAAAGCGCTGCTTGTTATTAGAGGTAAAATAATTGAAAACATAGAACACAAGCTTTACACTTTTGGTCAGTTCTTAAATTTTCGAGATGCATTAGACTGCGTAGAACACAAAATCCTCTTACAAAAGTTTAACTACTGCGCTGTCGGTTGTATATCATTCAGCTTAGTGCAAGATTACTTGTGTCGTAAAATACAGTACGTACGAGTGAGCGGCATTCGATCTAACAAAGTAACTCTCGCTTGTGAAGTTCCTCATGGCTCTATACTAGGATCACTATTGTTTTTAGTATATAACAATGATATAACCAAACTACCAGGTTCTCTTGACATGATCATGTATGCTGATAAAGCAAATATATTTTTTACAGCGAAATCTTTTGTACAAGCAGAGGCTATGGTAAACGGGCACTTGGGTAACCTGCAATCATGGCTAAAATCAAACATGTTTTCTTTTAAATTTATCGAAAACCAGCTACAATATTTTTAGACTGATCAATACAGCAGATTTCTTTAAGGTCAACATCCACTTTGGACGCGTAAAAATACATGAGGTTTTTTCTATAAAATTTCTCGATGTCTAGTTCCACCAGAACGTTTCCTGGAACACAGTTGTCTCAAAATCAGCGTCTGAAATAAGCAAAAGTGTTGGCTGTCTCTACAAGGTGACAAGTCTTGTACCCGTATGGTTGAGACTACAGATGTATTCTGCGCTTGTATACTCTAAACTAACCTATTGTATTCTGGTCTGGGGAGCAACTACAACTACTTACTATCAGAAACTACAAGTACTTCAAAAGAGAGCTTTGCGGAGCATTCATAGTTACTACGGCAGTCGCCAGGATCTTCCCACTTCACCATTGTTTCGCCCCTATGCTTTTCTTAACGTGAATCAAGTCTATTTTTTTTGTCCGTTGCAGCACAATAAAGTCAATCATTTACATACTCGCAGCAATACATTGACTAATGAAACATACCATTTTGGAAAACAAAGCCTGCGGGTCCCTAAGACGCGTACTATGGCAAACAAAAATAATTTATCAGGTGACTGGCTATGAATAAAAAGTCTACAATTGTTAACTTTGCTGTTTCAATGAAAGTATTTAAAAAGAAAACAAAGAAATATTTACTCAACTCTGGTCTCTGTTAGGTATAACATATACATTGCTATATGTTTGAGAACAGTTTATTTTGTTGTACTTGCAAGTGTAGCTATTTATCTATTTATTATGTCATGTATGTTGTTATATTGTTTTGTTAACTGTCGCCAGACCGTACAATGGAGCGGAGCCGAGGCCTTTGCCAGGCACTCCATCCTTTAGCCCCGGCTTCCTCCTTATTATGAAAGGAAAAAAAACTTCACTTCACTAACTAGGACGTCACCAATTCCTATGCCGCTGGAATTCGTGTGCAGTTCTGTTGCAACTGATCGGTTGAAGTGTTGAAGAACAGGCCGCGTCGTCAGGAGGAACTTCAGTTGACGAAAAGTGGAGTCGCACCCCGAAGTCCACTCGAAGGAAATATTCTTCCGTAGCAAACATGTCAGCGGATACGAGACGTCGGCAAAGTTAGGTATAAAGCGGCGAAATTGGGAGCAAAGCCCAAGAAAACTGCGGAGCTCCTTACCAGAGCATGACGCGCTGAACGTCTCAACAGCTGCTGTCTTCTGGGGATCTGGACGGATGCCATCCTGATCGACTAGGTGTCCGAGAAGAAGGGTTTGTCGGTCTCTGAAGTGGTATTTATTTGAGTTAAGAACAAGGCCAGCGTTTCTTATGCAAGTCAGTACAGTATCCAGACGTGAATTGTGTTCGTTGAAGGTGCTGCCAAAGATGACGACGTCGTCGAGATTTCACATGTAAATGCTCCACTTCAAGCCACAAAGAACAGTGTCCATAAATCGCTCGAACGTCGCAGGCGTGTTGCACAGTCCAAATGGCATCATGTTTAAATCGAAAAGGCTGTCAGTGGTTACAAAGGCTGTCTTTTCTTTATCTTCTGAATTCAAGGCAATTTGCCAGTAGCCCAATCTTAAGGGTACCGAGGAAAAGAAAAAGGCCGTATGTAGACAGTCGATGGCATCATGAATACGTGGAAGTGGGTACACGTATTTTTTTGTTACAGCATTCAATCGGTGATAATCAACGCAAAATTTCCAGGGTCCGTCTTTCTTTTTAACGAGAATTACTGGAGCTGCCCATGGACTCGCCGACTTTTGAATGACTTTGTTTCGAATCATTTCGTTCACTTGCTCGTTAATAATCCACTGCTTGGATGGTGAAACGCGGTATGGGCATTCCGTTCTCAGGCATCACCTTAGAACGGAGTGCCAGTGACTTCACTATGTTACGACACGTGCGCGAGTGGCCTGTGGGCGTATATATTTGGGCTCTTGTTTTGTTGTATGTGAATTGTTGTTTTATGCTGCAAGCATGCAGTGCCGTTAATAAAGGTGTTCCGTGAAGCCTTGATCTCTCTCCCTGCGGATACAACTTGCAGCATAATAAGATAGACGCGTTACTACACATACAATTGTGAAAAGCTGGGTAATTTTTAATTTATAAAAATTCAAAACGAAATTAAAGACGGGCTTATAAAGCACCGTAAGACACGTAGTGAAGGTATTCAGGCCTGAAAATCGAAGAAGGCATCAACCCTTTTTTTTCTTTATTTCAAGTGTTCATTTGTTTTTCTGTTCATCCTTGATTAGTTTTTACAAATATGTAAAGCAGGTGCTCCACCTCTACTAGCACAAACTGAGAAAAAGTGTTTTCTTCGGCAGACAATTGACCAAAAACGTACAACACAAAAACCATCTGGTCTGTATTCATTTCTAACTCGAGGCTTATAGAAGCCAAACGCCAAGCTACCCAAAAGGCATATACCTGGTCATCACAGGCACGAAGCTTCTCCTGTCCGTCGAGTGCGTTGTGCGAGACGATGTGGTGGACGCGGTAGTTCTCGGCCACCGAGTTGCGTTGCAAGTGGTTGGCCTGCAGGGGCACACGGCGCCTGCGCTGCGCGCCGCTCGGCCTGCACGTGCACAGCTTGCCGTAGACATATCGAAACGCCTTGGCCAAAATGTCGCCGATGTTCGTCAAGTAGAGCAGCATCAGAGGGATGCCCACGATGGCGTACAAGATGGTCACGATCTTGCCCCAGTTGGTGCGAGGAGCTATGTTGCCGTACCCTGCGTAGACAACACAATGTGGTGACAAACGTGAAATCAAGAAAAGAGTATAGAAAATGTGCACAATGAGTTTTTGGTGATCTCTCAAGTTTACTTCGTATATGGCAAGAATGTGAAGCACATGCACTCTGTGCCTATACGCCCATTGACGGCGTGTAGACGAGGCTACGCAACCGAAATGTGCCGGAACCATGCACGTACGTGGGCTTCTAGATACAGTTGGGGGAGGACGGGACGTTTAAAAAGAGGGCCACAAGACATCGCACACGCACATTTTCGCTCCTGCACATTTCTTGGACTTATTCTTGTTTGCGCCTTTTGTACATGAAGCCTCAAGAAAACAGAGGAGTAACATTTTCGACTAATGAATTCCATAAAATTTAAACAAACAATCATATTGTACGTTTCATTGCTGTGTGTGAAGTGTATTTTTTTAGTGGAAGCGAGTGCGAACGTGCGAATGTTTCTAGGCGTTCCTAAAATGCAGTAAATAACTTACAATACGTCTAAAGTCAAGTGGAAATTTAAGGGCTCGTTGTCTTTCTTAGGTACAATATTATTGAAAACTTACAGAGAATAATTGCAGGGAAACTACAGGGGACGCTGTAAGACTTATTTGCAATGTATACCTGAAGAAAAAAAGTGAACGAAAGGACAACTTTTTACCTGCAGGACAAGAGCCAGCGACCTTAGAATAAGGTGTCCCATGCTCCACCACTGAGCTACGGTGGCGGTCCACTTTCTTTTGTCCATGGTTTTTTCTTCAGATTTAGATTACAAGTACTTATAAGAATAAACCACATGCTTTTTTTCCTGCCATTATTGCGGTAGTTCGATAATTGTATGTCTAACAGGCGCAAACGAGCCCTTAAATTTACACTTCCCTTTATTCATAGCGCGTGTCTCATTCTGGCACACTTCATGTCTTGAGGTAGTATGCGAGGAATTATTTGTCAGCGGCCATCTCGTAATCAGATCACGTACCACGTGATGCCAAACAGGCATGAATGAGTGTTCTACACGTGACGTAATGAAAACAGGTGGTACTGACTGAGGCCCATCCCCCCTCTAAGATGCACATATGTCCCTATAGTGTGGACAGGGGGTCACCACCACCGTAGCTGAATGGTAGAGCATCAGACGCTTCAGTCGAAGGCTAAGATCCTGCCAGTGGCAAGTTATCCCTTGGTCTACTTTTCAATCCTGTCTGTTACTTCTCGATTGCGATATGACGACTTTCTAACCAGTCCCACAGCAGCAAGTTCATGAAGCACGACTCACTTTGAGACTGCGAGGAAATTTTAAACACAGGATTCTTCAAAGTGTGCCTAATAGTAAGTGAGTATTCTTGTCTCTGTTTTATGTTATTAATGCAGCTTCGAAGGAATACCAGGAACAAACAGCACAGCATACTCTAATGATCTACTTTGCCATGAACCATTTCTCACATAGGATGCGTGGATACGCACATAAGTTAGAAATATTTGCAAGTAGGCATTACGCTTTGAACACCAATGAGACCAGAAAGTACCCGGATTCCTTCGTGTCGTCCGTGGAACGCAAGCTGGAGTGCTCTTCCGCATACGCACCACAACATTCAAAACGCTCCAGCGTAGCGTACGCGCCTGCTAGAGTGAGTGAGACTTCGGCCCGTGTACTGCACATTCACTACGACGTTCACGTGGGTCATGTAGCCACACGCAAACTGAGGCACACTCTAGTTGATGTAAAAGACCAATTACAAAAAGAGTGTTTCCTGACGTGGTGTACTATGTTCCTTGCTTGAACTGTGATTGTGTCGCCATCGGTAAATTCAGAAACATCGAGCGACGGCTGAAACAGCACTGTAATGATGTGACAATAAAAAAAAAGTCCTCTAACGCTCTTGCTAAACATGTGCAAGCCTCGACTCATGAATTGGACTAAGCCAGGGTACGTATCGTCGCTACCAAGAAGGCCCTGGCTTCGAGAATGTATCCCGAATGCTTAACAATACAATAAAAAAAAGCACAAAGACCCCCTTCCCTGCGCCTACGATAGGTGTTTGGGTATGCTTTGGGCTGTTTAGACTCATAGCTTTTTTTCTTCGCTTTTTTGTTGTGAACAAGGCTCGCATACTGGGTGCCGAAATACGCGTTTTCTCTTGTGGTCGGCGTGATCGTCCTTTCATTCAATAATTTTACCTGACCAGACAAAACACTCGTACGTGGAAGCATTGTCTCTGTAAAGCATGCGTTCACACTGTAGTGCATGTGACCAAAAGAATAAGCCGTACTGGATAAATTTAGCACGGAAATTCATTGCTTGGCACTATATGGTAGCCGGAGATGATTACATTTTTTGCAGAAACCACTGGTCGCTTTGCGTCTAAATCTAACAAGCTTCGCGAGTAATGGAGAATAAACAATGACCACGCATCGCGCATCACTGAAACGACAACTCACGCGCAAGCAGCCAGGACATTTTCGTCGAGAAGGAATGGCACAAAAGGATTAGCGTAACAATTTAAGAATACCATACTGAGATGAGGCGCAGGTATCGACAGGATCCTGGCCGAGTAAGGCTTCCGATGTCATTGATTAATGAGCGCGCACACGATTTATTTGGGGCCCGGTGACGTGTCAAGACTGTACCGACGAGGCCAGCTTCCTCTTCGCGTGCATGGCGGCGAGCAGTGCACGCCTCGGGCGCCCGAGAACACCACTCGGTGTTCCATCACCTTCGCCTCGCTGCATGCTTCTCCATCAGCCGCCACGCGTCGTCCATTTTTGGTCTGCCGTTTTCTTTCTGCATTGCTTCCGTTGCAGCTGGTGCCGCATACAGTCGGGAAGGGGAACCAAAGGGAAACAGCTACCCAATTTCGTATGCGCCGCAAGGAGGTTCGCGTATCGTACTCTCTTTATGCGGCCGCCTCGATTTTCCGCGCTGCGTCCGCCGCTGCTGCTTTTCTGCGGCGCGTCCTTCTGCCGCGTTCGCATACATTCGCCGGGGCCTTGCGAGAGCCCACCGCGCCCCGGGCGCTCCGGCACGCTTGTTCAAAGGGGCGCAAAGAAGCTCGCCATAAAAGACGAGCAGGGGCGTGCAGCACGCACGACGGTGGGCTCAGCAACCAAATACGAATAGCGAGGATTGGTTCCAGTAGAAACGACTGCAACGCGCACTCGCTTACCGCAGAAATTTCGGGAAGGAGGAAAAGCGCACGAATCACGACAAATGGTGTTGCTCATAATGCGCTTTTTGTCCTCGCAAATATCGCCTGCGACGAACCGCAGCGAGAGTATTACGAGTGTACAGAAATGAAATTTCACTCCGAGTTTCGCCGCCATTTTATATACGAGTATGCCACGCACTTTTTTCTCACCGATGCGGAGAAAAAGATTGCCCGGAACAGCGGCACTAACGTTTCAGTTTAACTTCCTAATTGACGCTGGCGAGATATTGCGGAAGCAACCGAATTCAGGAGGTGACTCAATAATTACGTTATCGACGTTGCAAGACACATTCAAAGAAGTTATACCGAAAATTATAGAGCAAGTTAAAACAAAGGTACATAGAAAGGTAGAGGTTCTGGACAATAACACCCATGCAAAACCAGTCCAATTCACAAAAGCCTTGTGAACTTACGCCACAGGCATCAACCCCAGAGAAAAAGCTGAGAAAATGTTCAGCAGGCCCGGATTTTCAGCCATAAACCGGGAGACGTACAATGGCTAAACTATGAGCGCAGCACTCAGAACAGTCCAAAATAATGCAGCGCAACTACCGTGGTTTCCAGCGTAAAAGAGTACAACTGTTGCAGCTGGTGGCGTCGCAACAAAGGCCCCCACGTGTCACAGCATTCCAGGAAGCCGGAACACGCCCAAAATTACGTGGCTACGAGACTTATAGTGCGGGGACGAATAATTGAAAATGGCAACATTTGTCGAAAAAGCGATTGCAGCAATATGTCATCAATCTTTAAAGGACAGACCTCTCATCAAAAAAATCACCTACAAAGCGAACCTTGAAATATCACCTTATCTACAGCCCCCGAAACGCAAGAGACCTGCGTTCCACAAGCTCTTGCAAGAGAGAGCAAAACTGGCAAAAGGGAACCCACAAGTAATTGTTAAGGACCGTAATGACAGACATGGAAGAAGGGGATATATGACACAAGACACCGAAAGCAAGAATCTCGCCGGCCAAACAAAGGCATTAAGAATGACACTGTTAACGGACCCTGCAAGCCCAGCGAGAACGGGGAACAGCATATCCTTGAAGAAAAGTACAGACTTCGTGGTAGTACAAAACAGTCAAAGCGGGGAGTGGTACAACACCAGTAAAATCCCGAGCAGCAATGATTACACATAGTTAGCACCACAATGCGCACCGTCTAAATACGGAAACACATTTACACAGCTGAAATTACAGGCTGGCATGCGTACAAAAACTCACTTGCACGCGACTGCCATGGACAACTCGTGCGAGTGGTACAAACTACTCTTAAATAAAAACCGAATGCACACCATAATCAAAACACTCGCTAGAACAAACGAAACCCCGGAAGGAGACGTCCACTTCTTTCACCTGTGTGAAGCAATAAAGGACCTGGAAAACTATGGAAAAGGCAAAAACAAAATCAGAAACTCAAAGCGAACACTAGAGAAACAATAAGAAAGCCGACGAGTATGCTGATTAACTCGCGTCAGCCGAACAATTCTGTGATTTGCTAAATAGAACCCTAAGAACAGCAAAGACAAGGCATATGCTCAGATGACTGGCCCAATGAAAACAAAACGCGAAGGACCAAAGTATTAAGAAATAGTATCGTACTCGTGTTCAGGCACACGAGACGACCTTCTTCAAGACATCAACATCAAGTGTCTCGGAGCATAAGCCGTCACAAACTGTTACCAGGCTTAATATACTGGGCTTCGAAACTCATAACAGGAGGCGCCTTTCACGCGTGCAAAGATCAGATTGGCAATTATCAGTATAAAACAGAACACAGCGCCTAGGGC